AGAGCTATCTCACCACTTCTGTACATCATAGGTAGTCCACGGAAAATGCTCGCGTTTTCAGGACTACTTTGCAGTCGTAAGTTTCCAGTGAAAGGCAAATATATAGTCTTCACATTGTCAAATGGGAAATGGCCTATCTATGGGGGTTTTTATTCAGTTAACTCTTGCGTGACGAAAAAGCCCTAAATAGTCAGAGCTAAGATGGCCACTTCTTAAGTTACTAACCTTTAACGTCATATTTCCTTCCTTTATCAGGTAGGCCATAGCAAGTGTCGGGCCACGACTGAGATTCTTGTCTGCTACTATGAGTACGCGGTGGACGCGATTTTTATTCATCTCTGCAAACAGTAAATACAAGCAAACGGGAATAAATTTCAACAGTCTGCAATTTTAGCAGGCAAAAACATTTTTTAGGTGCAGGTTGTAGTAGCGCGGAACTCGGCCCCAAAAGCTTACACTTTGGGAAGGACGGAGCTGCCGATCCCTCGAATTTGCATCGAGCGCCCTAATCCCCTGAACTGTCGGTGGCCGACAGTCCGGTGTGCGAATACTATTCGCTCTACTCATTCTTCTCCGACCGCGACACAACAACCGGCACCACCCCCGCCTCTCCTGACTCCAGCAATGAGAATCAGGACTACACCTATCCTCACTGCGACCGCACCTTCACCTCACACATCGGCCTGGTCGGGCACTTGCGAATTCATCGCACAGAGACCGGCGAACCAGTGCCTGAAGCACCAACCTACACCCACCGCACTCGCCTCCACTGCCCACACTACCCTCGCACCTTCACGCATCGCATGGGTCTATTCGGCCACATGCGCATCCACGAGAGCGGAATCGACCACAATTCCGACACACCAACCACGCCCATCATGCCCAGCACCACCCTCGCACCGTCCATCTGCGCCACCACCAACGCCTCCTCTGTAGCTGATTCTGACACCGCCGACTTCACGTGCCCACACTGTCCACGCACACTCACCTCACGCATCGGCCTGGTCGGTCACTTGCGAATCCATCGCACAGAGACCGGAGAACCAGTGCCTGGAGCACCAACCTACACCCACCGCACTCGCCTCCACTGCCCACACTGCCCTCGCACCTTCACGCATCACATGGGTCTATTCGGCCACATACGCATCCACGACTACCTGCGGTAGACAACCGCCGGT